CTATTTTTACCTTCTATTTCATTAGTTTTTGCTCTTTATTGTTTCCTTCCTTCTGCTTACTTGGATTTAATTTAATCCTCTTTTCCTAGCTTAAGTTGGAAACTTAGATCATTGGGGTTTTGTATGTTTTAGTACATACTTTATTTCTTGAACTCAAACTATAAAACACTGTCTCCCTTGTGGCGAGTGGCAGCTAAACTCCTTGTTCAATTCTCTTAGCCTTAGCCAGGACGCTTTATCCATTCTGTCACTCTCTGTCTCTTTATGGGTGCACTGAGGCCATTTATACATTCAGTGTAATTATTGATAGGTGTCAGTCTATTGCTGTCATTTTGTAGTGCTTTTTTTTTTGTGGTGCTGACTTTTTCTTTGTTCCTCTTACTCTCCTGTGCTGAATTTCTTTTGTTTGGATTTTTTTTTTCATTTCTTTTGTTTTTGTAGGTTTCGTTTTTACTGAGACTTTATGTTTTTATTTTTATTTTGATGAGTAGGTTTGTTAACTTTGTTTGTGGTTACTGTGAAATTTACCCTTATCTTTCTAAGTTTGAAGCAGTCTATTATTACTTTGTATTGCCTTGCCTTCCTCTCCATTAGAAGGTTCTATACCTATACTGTTTATCCCCTTTTTTATTGTTCTGATGTTGTTGTCATTTACTGATTAATTGTTCTGATTCCTTGTTGTATTTGTTTTGGTTTTGGGTAGTCCTTGAGAATTCATTTCCTAGATTAGTATCTGGCTGGTACGATCCTGCATCCTAGATTCAGCCTGTGAGCTGATGTTGTTTGTTCTCAGATCGAAGGACTCCCTTCAATAATTCTTGTACGTTTGATTTGGTTTTTACATAGTCCCTTAATCTTTATCTGGAAATCACCTAATTTCACCATCATGTTTGAGTGAGAGTTTTGCAGGATATATTATTCTTGGCTGGCAATTTTTTTCTTTCAAGCTTTTATATATGTCATCCCATTGCCTTCTTGCCTGCATGGTTTCTGCTGAATAATCCAGGCTTAGTCTTATTGTTTCTCCTCTGTATGTGACTTTTTGTTTTTCTCGAGCTGCCCTCAGGATTCTTTGTCTTTCGTTTTGGAGAATGTGATTATGATATGCCTTGGTGGTTTTCTTTTGGGGTCTCTCCTATATGGGGTTCTTGGAAGGCCAGCTTTTCATCTTTCATGATATTGGGGAAGTTTTCTGTCAGTAGTTCTTCAGTGATCCTCTCTGTGTTTTGTTTTCTCCCCGTTCTGGAATTCCAATCACTCGCTGATTTTTGCTTTTGATTGTGTCCCACATAACTCTCAGGGTCTCTTCATTTTTCTTTGTTCTTTTTTCTGAGTTTTCCTCAGACAGAGTTGTAGCCAAGTGTTTGTCTTCAATTTCGCTGATCCTGTCTTCCACGATTTCAGACTTGCTCCTCAGCCCTTCTGTGATACTGTCCATTTCTGAAATCTTGTTTATCTTTTGGATTTCTGATTGTTTTTGTATGATTTCTAGTTGTGAATTTATTTTGGCATTTTGTTCCTGCATTATTTTCCTGAATTCTTCCATTTTTTTGTCTGTATTTTCCATGAATTTGCCTGCCTTTTCCATGAATTTGCCTATTTTTTCCCTTGTTTTTGTCTTTTTGCTTCAACTCTTGGATAGCTCTGAATATTAGAGGTTTGAATTCCCTATCAGGTAGTTCTAATGCCTTTTGTTTTACTGGAAAGTCATCTCGTGTTTTATTTTGGACACCTATTGGAACCATCCTGTCTTGTTTTTGTAAATGTTTTGGTGATTGTCTGCTGTCTTTGGGGCATTCGGTAGTTATTTTCCTCACTTATTGATTGTAGATTTGTTTTGTCCAGCTTTTTTGTTTTATTTGGCTATGTCTGAGCAGGCGTTCTTTGTCGTTTGCTCATCTTTGGGCACGATACTTTGATCTCCTTCTCCAGTTGGCATTGTCAGTTGCTCAGATATGGTACAGCAGTGCAGGTCTAGCTGAAGAGGAGTTGCTGGGATGGGTTGTTTGTGGCACTACAGCCACCAGGGCGGGCTGGTAATCAGTGCAGGGCAGGTTCAGGTAGGCCGTACCTGGGCTGCTTGGTGGTGTGATGTTTAGCGCACAGTGCAAGTAGGCAGGATGGAGGGGGAGACTGTGATGTGTGGGGCTAAGATGGGTATGGGAGAGAGCAGAGAGGAGCGGGAGCCAAAAACATACAAACAAAAAAGAGTGCTAGGGCAGCTTGCCATTGGAGTGGAGAGATGAGAGACTATGAAATGGAGAGAAACAAAAAAGAGAAGAAAAATGAATAAATAAAAATTAGAAAGAAAGAAGAAAAGAAAAGCTCCCAGGGATCACTCCGGTGCGGCTGTGAGGTCTGGGGAAGTTGCTTCCAGGCCATGAAGTACAGTCTGGCTAGAAGGGGTAGAGGTGTCACTCAGCGCCAGGTATTCAGGGGACAGGAAGGGAAGGAAAGTATAGGGAGACGAGAAACTGAGTAATGAAGAAAGACAAAAAGGGAAAAGAAAACAAAACAAAATAAAGAAAACAAGAAAAACCTCCAAAGAAAAACAGAAAGAAAAACAAAAGTCTCCCTCTCAAAAACAAGAAAAAAGAAACACCCATGGGGATCCGTCTGCGCAAACTGAGGGCATAGGTCCCAAGCGGTGCAGTACTGCCTGGCAAGAACAGGCTCCCAATTTGAGAAAAGAAAAATCAAACAAGCAAACAATTCAAAACAAACAAAAAGCCCCGGGATCCCACCAGTGTGGCAGTGTGGCAGCACAGGCCGGGAAGCAGTTTCACATTCGAGCGGCGTTTCACAGCCTTTCAAGAAAGAAGCAAAGATGGCGCACAGAGCCAGGTATTTGAGAGAAAGGAGGGGGAGGTGATGAGAGGTAAGGAAGAAATCTAACGAAGCAGAAAAAAGCAACTGCAGCAGCCAACAAATGGCACTTAGGGAGCCGGCCAGTGTGGGCGGGTGGAATCCAAGTGACATCGGAGTGAAGGTGGTGCTTCCCGGCCAAGAGACTGGCCATAGGAAGCAGAGCTGGCCGAGTGGGAGTGAAGAAGGGTGGGGGGGTGGGAAAGCGTATATCACTGTTTACCAGTTGTTCTTTCTCTTGCTGGAAGCTCTGTGAAGCTGCTTTCTCGTAGCCCCTGTTCACTGATCTCTGATAGGAGTCCAAGATGGCGGATCTGTGCTATGTTAGCGGATAGGGGACCTCTGCATGTATCTCTCCTCGCTCTCTGTTCTCTGTCAGTTTCTTACTCCATTCAGTGCTTGGCTGAGTTCTTTATCTCTTCATTTGATGCCTAGGGTTTCAGGATTGCTGTTTTCTCTGTTTGGCTTAGTTTTTCAGATCTTTACTGTGGAGGGACGGTGTGGTGCTTCTGCCTATAGTGCCATGTTGCCAGGAAGTCCCATAGCTGGGACACTTTGAGGCTGCCCTGTGCATGCATCGTTCCAGGATTATTCAGCAATCTGGGCAGAGTTTATACACAGAATTTGGGGCTCTCCCTTTCAGTTTCTCCTGCCTGGGATTTCCGACCTGAAGTTGTGGTTGTCCCAAACTCTTTGTCTTCAGATCCTTCAAGCCAGTAAGATTGAGGATTTTCTTTCAGAATTTTGGTTACCCCACATGGCATACTGGTGCCTCTCTTCAGGCTAAAAGCCATAATTAAAAAAAAAAAAAAAAAATAACACCTTACCCATGTCATACCCTCAAGTGTTCCCTCCTGTCCAGAATCTGTCCCCTTTTATTCACTTTCTATTTCTTTAGAACCAGATCATTGATTTAAAAAATTTTAAGGGTAAAAATATAAGTTTTCCTCTAAGCATTGTTTCAGCAATATCTCACAAATTTTGGTATGTTGTATTCTCATTATCATTCAGTTCAGATAATTTCTAATTTCTTCTTTGACCCATGAGTTATTTGGGAGTGTGTTTAATTTCCAAGAATTTGGAGCTTTTCTACATAGCTAGCTCATTGATAGTGATTTCTAACTTAATTCAAACTTAAGCTCTTTTTTTTGCAATTGTGACTTATATTATGGTCCAGCATGTGGTCTGTCTTGGTGAAAATTCCATGTATACTTGAAAAGATTGTGTATTCTTTATTTGTTGGATACACTTGTTGCCATTGAGTCAGTTCCGACTATAGTGACCATATAGGACGGAGTAGAACTTCCCCATAGGGTTTCCAGGGCTGTAATCTTTATGGAAGCATACTGCCACATCTTTCTCCCACGGAGTAGCTGCTGGGTTTGAACCATCGACCTTTCAGTTGGCAGCTGAACCTTTAACTACTGTACCATCAGGGCTCCCTGTGTTTGGTATAGTGTTTTATAAATCTCAAAAGGTTAAGCAGGTTGATAGTATTATTTGAACTATATCCTTACTTTCATTTAAGAGAAGGGTATTTCAGCCCTCGATTTCCAGCCAATCTGGCAGCCCCACACTCCATCTTCTGAATCCTGAAGCCAATAAGACTATGGTTTTCTGCTTGTGTCCTAGTCTTTCTGTGCTACTTGGATGGGGCAGTGTTGTCGGGGAAAATGAGGATCTCACGCTATTTAGTTTCCTTCTTTCAAAGATTGTCGTTTTGGTTACTCTGCAGAGCCCTCATATAATTATTTTGTATGTTTTGTTCAGAATTTATAATTGCTATCTGCAAGAAGTTTAGTCTTATATGATCTATTCCACCATTACTGGAACCTCCTAACATTTTTTTTTTCTTCAAACTATTACAGTAAATTGAAAGAAAGTTAAGTTTTACAGAATTTAAGTACATCTCATATTCAAGCACAGCACCATTTGTTGTTCACTGTGTCTAGAGCAGGTAAGTCCATTTACTGAGGATATTTATATCCTTTTCGTAGGTGTTAAGAACATGACAAGACATGTGGTTTTATTTTTAACTAAAGATATTTAGAATTTGCTATCATGAATGTATTAGAGGTGACCACTTTTTATTTTCAGGTCATTAACTTTTGACATCTAATATTTTCTTTCTTTAGATGAGTTTGGTGCTTTGGAAAGTGTGAAAGCTGCTAGTGAACTCTATTCTCCTTTATCAGGAGAAGTAACAGAAATTAATGAAGCTCTTACAGAAAATCCAGGACTTGTTAACAAGTCTTGTTATGAAGATGGTAAGTTGTTGCTAGAAATTTTTCATAGAACTATTGCTATAGTTAACATTTAATCTAAAGTTTAAAGCAAGCTTAGTTGATTGTGACTTCATCTTTTTTCCATTTCTGTTTCTATTAAATAGGGACATTCTGCCAGATTAGCTGAATCTATAAGAGGATATTTAATATCCACCAGTTTACTCCTTGGAAGCCCTGTGGGGCAGTTCTACTCTGTCTTGTAGGGTCGCTGTGAGTCGGAATTGACTTGATGGCAGCGGGTTTGGTTTTTGGTTTTCTGACCATAAAACATTGCCTTACATTGCAGAGTTCTTAGCATTATAGTTGAAGGCTCCTTGGTTACTATAGTGTTTACCTTTTCAGATGTAAAGCATGCACTCATGCTTTTGTGATGTAATGGTAATAGAATTAATACTTCATTGCATTAATTTTCATTATTCTCACATATATTAGTTCATTTTGATTTTTATGATAACCTAGTGAGGTAGTCTAGCAGCAATTTTCTGCAGTTTTTAGATGAAGAAATTGAGGCCCCAAAGAGTCACCTATTAGGGTCACACAGCCAATAAATGGCAAAGCCAGGGTTAGGTTGTAGTTCTCTGTTATCTGTCATCTGTCCCTTCTTATTCCTTACTACTGCTTCCTAATGCCCTTAACCTCAGTAGTTACAGTGTTGCTGTTCCTTTTGTTAAAGAAAGATATACCTGGCCTTGTATATTTGGATACCTTATTTAAATTCTGAAATGTCAGTTGATGCTTATTACAACCTAAGAGTTCTCAGTCCATATGGTAGAGTCCGTTCTGGCTATAATTCTTCTCAGTTGTGATAATGAAGTCTGTTCATTTAATTCTTAAGGCTAAAATTTAAAAGCTCCTTGAACAAACAATAATAGTGATTTATTATGTAAAGAATACTAGATTAATTTGAGGCATTCAAATGTTTATCTTACATTTTGACTGAATTTTATTTTTACTCTTTAAAAAGGCAGTTTGGAATATAAGAATATAAGATACAGGGTTTTGTGTTTTTTTTTTTTTTTTTTTTTTGGTTGCAGGTTGGCTGATCAAGATGACACTGAGTAATCCTTCAGAACTTGAGGAACTAATGAGTGAAGAAGCATATGAGAAATACATAAAATCTATTGAGGAGTGAAAACGGAACCTCTAAATAAACTAGTATGAAACCACTTCCCCCAGCATAGTTGTCTTAAATTAGTGGATAGAAGAATTAAAATAACTTTTAGCAATACCAGTGGAAAACAGAAACTTCTTGTTGCAATTATGCTTTAGAAGAAAGTATCCCTTAACTATCTAATGACTGCAGATAAACACAATATACATCTTTTTCACAACACCCTGTTTCAGGTTAGGGTCTAGTTATAATATTCAAAATTCATGAAATTATCTGTGGTAACAATAGTTAAAAAATTATGTAATTCAAGGGTAACATTGTTGTAAACCTTTTATAATATTATAACTATTGCTGACATCCATACCTGGGTTTGGGTCAAAATACCTAATGATCTTTCCACTGGAAATAACTGGGAGTGGAGATAAGTTTTTGTAGCTGTACAGTGTCACAAGAGGAATAATACTATCTTAATTTTACTATGTACTGCCTTTGCTGGTTCTATTTTTATACAGTGAACCAGCAGCCTTGCAGCAAAATAAGAAACAGTTTAATAATAAAACATTCAATTTCTTCATTAGTCATGTTTTTTGTTTTGATGTTCATTCATTTAGTGATTCTGTTAGTATTTGTGGAAATACTAATTTTAACTTAATGCAGAGTTCTTTTTAAAAAGGAAATGTAAGCTATATCAGTGAAAGGTTCTAAGAAAGTATTTCCTTTTAATCACAAACCTGACTCTTAAGCAAAATTCTGATTGCCTGATAGCTTTAAGCACTTAGCTTTCTCATCTTTCAAAACTAAATCACTGACTTTGTTTTTCTGTCATGCTAGATAGAAGAGAAGAGGAAAAACAAGGAAAGGTAGAAGTTTTGATCAGCATAGCACATGGTGGTCTTAAGAAGTTAAACCATGGTTCAGGTTTCCACTTAAGTAGTGGGAATAGAATTGGACATAAAGTGTGAAACTTTATGAACTCAGACAGTGAATACTGTTTGCAGCTTAAGCATAAAAGTTAGAGTACCAAATGTGGCATTTTTAGGGGCTAATATAGCACCAAAGGAGCCCTAGTGGCACAATGGTTAAAACACTCAACTGTTAACTGAAAGGTCAGCGATTTGAACCAGCCAGCCACTCCGCAGGAGAAAAGATCTGCCAATTGGTTCCCATAAAGATTTCAGCCTAGGAAGCCATATGAGGCAGTTCTACTCTGTCCTATAGGGTCGCTATGAATTAGAATTGACTTGATGGCATACAACAACAATATAGCACTAAGGTCCTCGGGTGGTGCAAATAGCTTGTGCTCATCTATTAACTGAAAAGTTAGTGGTTCAGACCCACCCAGCGGCACCACAGAAGAAAGGACTGGTGGTCTACTTCCCTAAAGATTGCAGCCAAGAAAACATCATGGAGCAGTTCTAGTCTATAACAGATGGGGTCACCATAAGTCAGAATTGATGGCAACAGGTTTGGTTTTAATATAGTGTTGGTGGTTCAGTGGCAGAATTCTTATCTTCCATGCAGGAGACCCCAGTTCAATTCCTGGCCAATGCACCTCAAGCGCAGCCACCACCCATCTGTCATTGGAGGCTCGTGTGTTGCTGTGATGCTGAATAAGCTTCAGGGGAGCTTCCAGACTAAGACAGACTAGGAAGAAAGGTTTGGTGATCTACTTCTGAAAAATTAGCCAGTGAAAACCCTGTGGATCACAATGGTCTGATGTCATTGTGCATGGGGTCACCATGAGTTGGGGGATCGACTCAGTGGCAGCTAACAACAGCAACAATATAGCACTACCAACGATCATGAAGACGGCGCAGGACTGGGCAACATTTCATTCTGTTATGCATAAGGTGGCTGCCATAAGTCGTTACCAACTCAACAGCAACTAACAACAACAAATACGGCACACTCTAATTAAGCCAGATGTGGTATGCTGATACCCTTCCCAAAGACACACACACTTGTTCTTTAACACTTTTCTGTGAGGTTTTTGAAAGGGTAGAACATTATAGCAACTTTTCAATACTAGATTATAGAGCCAATTCCACCCTCATTTCTATACTAGTGTTGCCAAAGAAATAGGGCCTTCCAAATTGACTGAATCAACAGGGCAATTAATTTCTTTGATCTCGTGTTCCTTTTGAATGGTTCTGGCCTTATAGGGCAACTTAATAAAGTTCTTAAAGAGTGCTTTCTAATAGTTGAACCTCAAGAAATGGAATAGGTTACCCTGGAAGTGTTAAGAAATCTTTTATATCACCTCCCAGGGAGTTTAAAGTTGATACCATTAGGTTTTAATAAACCACCTAGACGGTTCTCTGCATAGGCATGCTGGTGTTCCAACCCTTAAGCAAATCAGGATTTCCAAATTAGATGGAATCTTGGAGACTAACTAGTTTAACTCTTGTTAAAGAGGAAAACTGAAACCCAAGGAGATAGAGTGATTTTGCTTAACTCTCCACATTAAGCCCAGAGGCTTGGGATACAGGAGAAAAGGGAAGGTACACTGTAAACCAGAATGAACTGAGTTATTCTTATTTGCTGTCCCCTGTTTCATTTTTGTTGTTTGTTTGGTTTTATTTACAAGGAACACAGTTAAAAATTCATATTTGCTAAACATGTTCACAAATTAAAATAGAATTTAGTCTTGCAGATTATAATAAATCAGTTCTAGATCTTTTTATCTGCAAGTACACGCACACATATATATATCCTTGTGTTATTTTTTAATGAAGTCCTCCAATTTTTAATCTTTAGTAATTTGATTTGTATGACTGATGGTAGTTATCTGTAAATAGCAAATCAAACACACTTAATGTTTAACGTAACCACATTAAACCTGATTCTCATCTCCAGTTACTCTCAGTGAATTCATTACCTGTATACCTGTTTTTAAGACCCTTGGGTGGCACAAACCATTTGTGCTTGACTACTAACCTAAAGGTTGTTTTGAACCCACCCAGTGACACCACAGAAGAAAGGCTTGGCAATCTGCTACCATAAAAGATTATAGCCAAGAAAACCCTATGGACCAATTCTACTCTGTAACACTTGGGGTTGTCATGAGTTGGAATCGACTTGATGGTAATGGGTTTAGTTTTTTTTGTTTACTACCTGTTTTTACAGTATGGCTTTGATTTTTTAACCACTTAATGACCTGTGTTTCCATACTATCTCAGCCGCACATTGCCCTGCATTAGAACTCAAAATTGCTCTACCGTTAAACTCCCAAATGCTTATCTTCCTCTCCACTCCAATTACCTCATAAATGTTGAACCTTCTCTTTGTTGTTGGTGTTCGGTGCCATTGAGTCAGTTTCCAGTGACCCTATGTATAACAGAATGAAACACTGCCTGGTCCTGCACCATCCTCACAATCATTGTTATGCTAGAGCTGTCACTGCAGCCACTTTGTCAGTCCATCTTGTTAAAGGTTTTCCTCTTTCACTCACCCTCTACTTTACCAAGCGTGATGTCCTTCTCCAGGGGCTGGTCCCTTCTGATAACGTGTACAAAGTATGTAAGACGAAGTCTCATCATCCTTGCTTCTAAGGAGCATTCTGGCTGTACTTCTTCCAGACAGATTTGTTCTTCTGGCAGTATATGGTATATTCAGTATTCTTCGTGAATACTATAATTCAAAGATATCAATTCTTCAGTCCTCCTTATTCACTATCCAGATTTCCCATGCATATGAGGCGATTGAAAATACCATGGCTTGGGTCAGGTGCGCCTTAGTTCTCAAAGTGATATCTTTGCTTTTTAACACTTTAAAGAGGTTGTCTGCAGCAGATACGCCCAATGCAGTATGTCATTTGATTTCTTGACTGCTGCTTCTCTGGGCATTGATTGTGGATCCAAGTAAAATGAAATCCTCGACAACGTCAATCTTTTCTCCATTTATCACGATGTTGCTTACTGGTCCAGTTGTGAGGATGTTTGTTCTCTGTATGTTGAATATGATCCATACAGAAGGCTGTAGTCTATGCTCTTCATCAGTAACTGCTTCAGGTCCACTTCACTTTGAGCAAGCAAGATTGTGTCATCTGCATATTGCAGGTTCTTAATAAGCCTTCCACCAATCCTGATGCCACATTCTTCTTCATACAGTTTAGCTTCTCGGATTATTTGCTAAGCGTAAAGATTGAGTAAGTATGGTGAAAGGATACAGTCCTGATGCACAACTTCCTGACTTTAAACCATGCAGTATCCCCATGTTCTGTTTGAATGACTGCCTCTTGGTCTATGTAAGGGTTCCTCATGAGCATAATTAAGTGTTCTGGAATTCAGTTTCCTTGCAGTGTTATCCATAATTTGTTATGATCCACACAGTCAAATGCGTTTGCACAGTCAATAAAACACAGGTAGACATCTTTCCAGTATTCTCTGCTTTCAGCCATGATCCATGTTACATCAGCAATGATATACCTTGTTCCATGTCATCTGAATCTAGCTTGAATTTCTGGCAGTTCCCAGTCAATATACTGCTGCAACCGCTTTTGAATGATCTTCAGCAAAGTTTTTTTCTGTGTGATATTAATGATACTATTTGATAATTTCTGTGTTCTGTTGGATCACTTTTCTTTGGAACGGGCTCGAACACAGATCTCTTCCAGTCAGCTGGCCAGGCAGCTGTCCTCCAAGTTTCGTGGCATAGATGAGTGAGCACCTCCAGCGCTGCATCCATTTGTTGAAACATCTCAATTGGTCTTCTGTCAATTCCTGGAGCCTCATTTTTTGCCAGTGCCTTCAGTGCAGCTTGGACTTCTTCCTTAAGTACCATCGGTTTTTGATCAAATGCTAACTCCTGAAATGGTTTAATGTCGACTAGTTCTTGGTGCAGTGACTGTTCGTATTCCTTCCATCTACTTTTGATGCTTTCTGCATCATTCAGTATTTTCCCTGTATAATACTTCAGTATTGCAACTTGAGGCTTGAATTTTTTCTTCAGTTCTTTCAGCTTGAGAAACGCAGAGTGTGTTCTTCCCTTTTGGCTTTCTAACTCCTGGTCTTTGCACATTTCATTATAATACTTAATTTCCTCAAGCCACTTTTTGAAATCTTCTATTCAGCTCTTTTACTTCATCATTTTTTTCCATTCGCTTTAGCTACTCTGCGTTCAACAGCAAGTTTCATAGTCTCTTCTGACATCCATTTTGGTCTTTTCTTTCCTTCCTGTCTTTTTAATGACCTTTTTGCTTTCTTCATGTATGATGTCCTCGATGTCATTCCACAACTCGTCTGGTTTTCGGTCATTAGTGTTCAATGTGTCAAATCTTTTCCTGAGGTAGACTCTAAATTCAGGTGGGATATTCTCAAGGCCATATTTTGGCTTTCATGGATTTGCTCTTATTTTCTTCAGCTTCAACTTGAACTTGTATACGAGCAATGGATGGTCTGTCCCACAGTTGGCTGCTGGCCTTGTTCTGACTGATGATATTGAGCTTCTCCATTGTCCCTTTCCATGGATGTAGTCAGTGTGATTCCTGTGTATTCCATCTGGCAAGGTCTACACTGTATAGTCACCGTTTATGTTGTTGAAAAAAGGTATTTGCAATGAAGAAGTCGTTGGTCTTGCAAAATTCAGTCTTGCGATCTCCAGTGTTGTTTGTATAGCCAGGGCCATATTTTCCAACTACCAATCCTTTGTTTTCAACTTTCACATTCCAGTCACCAGTAATTGTCAGTGTATCCTGATTGCATGTTGGATCAATTTCAGACTGCGGAAGTTGGTAAACATCTTCAATTTCTTCATCTTTGGCCTCTGTGGTTGGTGCATAAATTTGAATTATATTCATACTAACTGGTCTTCCTTGTAGGCGTATGGATATTATCACTGATAGTTTGACAAAGAAAGTGACACCCTTCCTCTTCAATTTGTCATTCCCAGCATAGTAGACTATATGATTGTCTCACTCAAAATGGCCAGTACCAGTCCATTTCAGCTCACTAATGTCTAGGATATTGATCTTTATGCATCTCATTTCATTTTTGATGACTTCCAATCTTCCTAGATTTGTACTTTGTACATTCCATGTTTCGATTATTAATACGTTTGCAGTTTTCTTCTCATGTTGAGCTGTGCCATTTGAATAGTCTAATACATCATATAAAATAGTCTTTCTAC